ATTTTCATGATGCGTTCATAGAATTCTCGTACTGGATGGGTTTCGTGATAGACTTGTTCTGCGCTTTCTTTGAGAGATTCACCTCGTGTTTGGCATCGCATTAAATATTTGAGGCTCCGAATCATAGCCGTCATCTCTAAAGGGAGAAGACGGGCTTCACGTAGTGCGTCGGCGGAGCGACATCCATATGTGATACCTGCCATGGTTCGGCAAGCTTTATTTTGACCTGCATCTAGGAGTTTGCGTGATGTGGGAGCCGCATCCCAATACCAGACCTCAAAGCCGTAAAGTGTCTGGGCTTGAACTGGTGTCAGGTAGAAGGCTCGAAGGACGTCACGTTTCGGTTCCCGTGTAGTTGGGGATATTGCTGCAAGTTGTAGTAATCGAAAATTCATGCGTTGCCTCGTTTGAACCACATGGGTAGAAATGCCTCGGTGGTTTTGGAAGGTGATGCCTAAGAGTTTAGGTGCCTTCTCCGGACCCAGAGGGATACCGCGTAGTTTAAGAGAAAGGGGATTCGGGTCCGAGGTTCCAAAAAGGGTGTATTTTGTCTAGTCCACGTTGACTTCCATAAAATAGTTTTTGGACCATTCGTCCACTACGTTTAGTCCTTGTTGCAGTGTAGTGTTTATGATGTCTCTGTTGATGTGTCTTACTGCTAGTGTGGGATCATCGGCGAAAAATCCATGAAATAATAAGGGAACTTGGGATAATCGTTTGATTAGGGTGTTCAGTGCCATAATGAACGTGAGTGGGCCGAGAACTGTTCCTTGTGGTACGCCACGGTTGAAATGCATTAAAGGAGAGGATTTACTGTTTACTCGTACTTTGGCTTGACGTCCTTTCAGGAAAGATGCAGACCATCGAATGATGTGCGGTGGGATATCCATCTCTCGCATCGCGCTAACTATTCGATCATGGTCTACAGTATCGAAAGCTTTGGCGTAGCCTACGAATACTGCACCTTTACGCGAATCAATGGTGGGTCTCGTGAGGGCTGCGCGTAGATGCAATAGTTGATCTAACGTCGAGTGGCCAGGTCTAAATCCAGATTGTTGAGGGGTCAGTTTGGTTTCAATGACATCTCGAATTCGTGCTGCGATGATCTGTTCCATTAATTTGGACAGACAACTAGTGAGGGTAACTGGTTTGAATGAATCCAGGTCGGTGGCCTTCTTTCCTGGTTTAAGAAGTGGTGCAATAATGCCTACTTTCCAAGAGAATGGAACTATACCAGTACGGAGACTCTCGTTGAAGAGAGCAAGAGTCTCCGCTTTGGCACGGGGNTACACAAATCCAAAACAAAAGGGTCAAATAACAAAACTCCAAGTGTATATTGTTGTACAACAGTGTGGGTTTATTAATCACAGGTATAAACGTATATTTGTGATACATACGATATATACGTGGTCAGTGAGCAGAAGAACACACAGGGGCCTCTGCACACAACCAAAAACGAGAAATTTAATGAGAGAAAGGAAATAAAAAAAAAAAAAAGNAATACTCACAGTGTGAGAGAGAAGAAGCTGCAACAGCAGAGTACAGTAGTAGAAAAGGAATAGCCCCCTTTGCAAGATGATGCAGACCCCAAAAAAACCGTATATACAGAGAAAAAAAGTACACAAATCCAAAACAAAAGGGTCAAATACCAAAACTCCAAGTGTATATTGTTGTACAACAGTCTGGGTTTATTAATCACAGGTA